TATATATATATCTCTATGGAATACAGACGTTTGTGTCGGCTAGATCTGTATAAAGGTACATCTGCAGGGGTAAATAGATCCGTGTATTCAGGTTCACACGTGCATTGGTGGCGTTATGTCTGCTTCTCTCTTGCAGGGGAGCCTTCTGTGAGGGGGTTTCCAGCTTAGGACTCTGGCCTTTCAGGGGAGGGGCTGTCTGGAGTGCTAGCAAGCCAGGAGGTCGAGGGAGCCTCCCCTGTGCCAAGGGAGAGGGATCGTGTGTGCGCGCGCGTGTGTATGTATGTATGTGTGGGGCTGATGGGTTTGCGTGTCCTGCCACTTGGCCTTGGGCAGGCTACACGGCCTCAGAAGGAGGGACTGGTAAGCCGCTTCAGAGTACTTTGTACCTACCTAGAAAACCTTGGCTGGATTTCCATGAGTCAGAATCGGCTCGGCGACTGAGACTTATTATTAGGCAGCCCTTGGGGGTTCTGAGGACCAGATAAAAGATTTCAGGGATCTGATGGTGAGTTTGTATGCTGAGGTTCTGTTTGTTCCTAGACAGCAGGGCTAATGGTTAAAAGAGGTTGTGCCTATTCCTTTTAAACATTTTTTTTCTTTTGTTTTGGGACACAACCCCTCCTGAGCTTCCCCAGTCTTCCCTGCTCGGCATCCCTTAAAACCCTGTCAGTCAAAGCCTCATCTGAAAGCTTGGGATAGCAGATGATTTGGGGTACAGACATTAGCTGGTAGGCAAAGCAGCTGGTGATGTGAGAGTCTCATTCCTAATAAGAAAATGAGCATTTGGTAATTCAACATAATTATACCACTTTCAAGTGTTCAGAGTACTTTATGTGAGCTATATATTTGTGATCTTTATAAAAAGGACTGTTATCTCTTCCCATAAAATATGTCACATTTGTCTCTGTTGAATTTGACTTCTGTAAACTTCCAGTTATGAAGCATCAAAAAAGGGCTGTGTGTGTGTGTAATTTTCTGTGCCTTTGCTAATGTTTAATTGTTTTCAAAGCTCAGTTCTTTTGCTATCTATTTAACTTATTGAGATTTTATTTCTTGTGGAAGAATATTGTTTTTGGTTTACACCACTGTATGGGCTGTTTGTTTATGTTGAGTTTCTTTTTAGATTCTAAAGGTATCTTCTGCTTGAGTCAGCAAGTCAGCTAAAATCATTATATGTTAGAGAAGTATTCTGCGGTAGGGTCGTACAAGCCTATTCTATGTAATTAGGCTTTTTCTGTGTTGGAAACACACTTTTTTTTAACATGTGTTGTGAACCATCCAGACAAATTTGTGTTAATGAGTGTTACATAAAGAAAGTAAATAATAACTTAAGTAGCTTCACTGATGCAAAGCCTCTAGATTAGTTGGGCTTTAAAAAGGTTATAAACATCCACAGAGGTTAGTTCATTTAACTTCTATGTAATTAGGCTTTTTCTGTGTTGGGAACACACTTCTTTTTTTAAACATGTGTTGTGAACCATCCAGACAAATTTGTGTTAATGAGTGTTACATAAAGAAAGTAAATAATAACTTAAGTAGCTTCACTGATGCAAGGCCTCTAGATTAGTTGGGCTTTAAAAAGAAGGTTATAAACATCCACAGAGGTTAGTTCATTTAACAGACATTAGTATGCATTCGAGGTTAACAGGGTCCATGACCGAATTGGAATCCCTCTGTTAGACAACGGTATTTACAGTTATCTGACTTGGTATAAAGCTGCTTCCTGTATAGATGTAACAGGTGAAGAGTGTCACCTTTGTGTCCTGCTTGTGAACCTCTCTAGGCATCTGGATGACTACTGGATAACGTTATCATAGGTTGGATGTAGCAAGGTGGTCCTTAGAGAAGTGTTCAGTTCATGCATAGAAGGTCCTCCCACCCCTTGGTTAGTGAATGTGATGGGGAAAAAACGTCTGTTTGCAGAAATTTTCTCTGTCACAAGGAGTATCAAGAACACAGCTTCTGAGAATTATTGTGATTCCTGCTTCAGCAACATGAGCAGAAGGGCAAAGATCCTAGGATGCTTTCTTCTTCTTTTTTTTAAACTTTCACTAATATTTTCCAGAAATCTTATACTCTTAGAATGGCAGAGCTGGAAGGGACCCTATCAAGAATTATTGTGATTCCTGCTTCAGCAACATGAACAGAAGGGCAAAGATTCTAGGATGCTTTTTTTTTTTTAAACTTTCACTAATATTTTCCAGAAATCTTATACTCTTAGAATGGCAGAGCTGGAAGGGACCCTATCAGTCATTGAGTCCAGCTTCTGTCAAGGAGGCCTAGTGGGGACTTGAACTCCCAGCCTCTGGCTGTGCAGCCGGAGACCTAAGCCACTGAACTATCCACCAGGTCTGATGTTTAACATGCTAACCCTTTGTGGTGTCTGTACCTATTTTGTGACATTCCACTTACATTGTTTGTTGCTCTATTGCAATGGTCCTCAACCTTTGGCCTCCAGATGTTCTTGGACTTCAACTCCCAGAAATCCTAGCCAACAGAGGTGGTGGTGAAGGCTTCTGGGAGGTGAAGTCCAAGGACATCTGGAGGCCCAAGGTTGAGGAACACTGCTCTATTGGCTTAGGTAAATCACTGTTATAGAACAGCAGTAGTCAACTGAACATTTTTCTTTGCGCTCAGCCATAGACCAAACCAGACTCCAAGAGACCATGGCCTTTTACAGCTGCAACATATTCCTTGCGGTAGCTCGGTCCAGGTAAGAAATCAATCTTAAATTTATTTCTGTGGATTATAAAATAGGGGTGGTTCAGTTGCTCAAAGGTATGAAAAGTGCCTTGTCGTTACATATCTGGGTTATCAGAAGAAGCTGCTTTTGAAAAACTAACTGGAATTTATTTTAAAAGTCTTGACATTTCAAGGCCAAGGCCCATGACCCTCACACTGATTCACTTGTCTGTGGTCTGAAAATATTAAAAGAAAAATCCTAGAAAAGTATTTATTAAATTTCTATCCCACCCTTTTAGACAAAGTCTACTCCGGGCGGGTTTCATTAAACATTGTAAACTAAAACAGTTAAAAACAATTCAAAACAATAGTGATTAGTAATGCTTAGTAATGCTCAAGATGGGAAAACAGAAAATTATAATAAAAATAAAGTATTGACAGGAGGGAAGGCCTGCCTAAAGAGCCATGCTTTTAATAAATTTCTAAAGGTGAAACTACCACAAGTGGCCACTAGAATAAGCCAGAGACCATGCTATGTATTGTTGTTGTTTAGTCGTTGAGTCGTGTCCCACTCTTCATGACCCCATGAACCAGAGCACGCCAGGCCCTGTATAGCATTCACTATTCAGGCTGTGTATAGCATTCACTATTAAAATAGCATTTACTATAATCTGTGTTTTTCGGCATATTCCGGGGTCTGACTTTGAGCTCATTCCCCCGCAGATATGGTGGCAAGGGTCAGGGGGAGGCCACTGTATTTTATTCTGTGAATGACAAAGTTGGTTTTCTCTTCCAGGGGACCTCATCTGCTTGTACACTCCAACTTCTCTCCATTTTCTCCGTCGGCTGCCTTTGTTCAGCTGGTGGATTCACATGTTAGCCGGGCACACCTGAAGGACTCCGAGGGCCAGCCGCTGTTTGGTTGCACGCATCCAGGCGCTGCGTCGCCTCACTTGCTGAGCAAGCCGACGCGAATGCTCCACTCCTCTGCTTCTTGGCACCAAGAGCTTCAGGACAGGCCTCCACCCAATGAAAGTACTGCCAAAACGGAGGGTGAGGGGACCAAGGGCCAAGGGGACCAGGCGACGGAGGTTGCCAGGAGGTCGTTACGCCACAGGGTTGTCGAGGAACTGAAGCACTACTATAATGGATTTCACTTGCTTTGGATAGACACGCAGGTTGCTGCTAGGATGGTGTGGAGGCTGTTACACGGGCAAATCCTCACTCGCAGGGAGAGACGACGGGTGAGCACTCTCTTTCCTTGTACGAGCGCTGGCACAGTAACGAGTGTCACTGAGTGGATTTTTGTTGGCAGTGGTTCCTTCCGACTGGGCGGAGCAAACAACCTCTCCTTTGGGCCCCTGTGACGCCAGAAGGCCCCCACCCTCCTAAGCCCTGGGTGGCTGGTTGGTTGGTTGGTTGGTTGGTCGGTCAGCCTGCCTAATAAAAGTACAGGCAGGATTTGTGCCATGGTTGGTTGATGTGCTCTTTCCACGTTCTTCTTCCCTAGACCAATAAGGGCACGACATTTGCTTTGGTGGTTCAAACGGTGCTGCCCAGGACCTGTTGCCCCTTGGGAATCCAGCTACCCTGGGCGTGACTATGTTCCCATCTTCCGTCCGTTTCTAGAAAGCGATGGACACCGGCGTTGGCCCCTGTGCAAGCTACGGGTTCCCCGCTCTGCCAGTGGCAACCTAACTTTTCGGCCAGACACGCCTGATGGATATTAATCTTATTGCTGTCTTAGAACTGCAGGGCTGGAAGGGATCATCGAGTTCAGCCCCTGTCAAGAAGGCACAGTGGAGGCATCGATCTCCCGACCGCTGGCTCTGCAGCCAGAACCCTAAGCCACTGAGTTATCCAGCAGCTTGTTATAGAAAACATGGGCTTCTGGTCCATTTGGACTTTCAAACAGTGAACAAAACAGGTTGATGCTAGGGGTGGGGAAGGCACTGAGGAAGCAGAGCTGCAACTCCGAGAATATCCTCTTTTTCTATCTGCCCCCCCAAGCCCCTTAGCCAAGTGACTGTGGGCAGAGCTATGGTGCTGTTGTCTTGCCTAGCAGATGGAGCAGGATTTGCTCTTAAAAGGGAAAGCGTGGAAGAGGCCTTGCTGCCCGTTTCTGTTTCAATGTGAAATCCCCAATTTCTGTCCAACACATGCATGTTGTTGTCCTCTGTGTGTCTGTGTCTGTGTGTGTGGGGGGGGGAATGTGACATTCTTTGCACATCTTGAAAGAGAACAATAAAATTATGTAAGATTATACAGTGAGGGTATTCTCAGATGCCACATTGAAATGGTCTGTTTTGTTGCGAGTTATGTTATAGTTCAAGCATAAATAGATTTGCATAAGAAAGATCCATGTGAGTGCCTCTTGTAGCACCATGTAGTTGTACAATGTGCTCTTCATTGCTTGTATACAACAACGTTTTGAAGTATAATCCCAGAATCCCCCAGACACAACAGCCACTGCTTGTGACTCAATATGTTGACTGGAGGATTCTGCAGTTCAAAATGTAATTTTTTCAAGCTCTAATGGTCTCCATTGACCAAAATCCCCTTGCATAGTTATTCCACTGGAAAGGAAATGGCATAACTCATCAACAATTAAGTCACTACTCAAAATATTTATAGTGCACCAGTCAGGTGGCTTGACACAAAGAAATCAAAGTGGGGACTCATTTAGATTTTGATTTTTAGATTAGGCATCCTTCAATCTCGAGAGACTAGGATAATGTGTTCTGAATAGAGGACTTGGGACAGCGTCTAGCATGGCTGAGGAGGCCAATTCGAGAGTGACAATCCCTTCCACACTCATTAATAAGCAGCAGTTTGGCATTGTGAGTTATGCCATTTCTGCCTCTATTAATTGCTCCACAGGATTTTGGCCATTTAATATAAAATTATTACAAGCAAGAACTAGAATTTCTTCTAGAATTTCATCACCCATCTACAGAAAAAGACAAAAGCCTATCTCATAGCCATAAATACTCCACTCCCAAGCCAACTACACCAGAGCACAGAGTGCTGTCCTCTGAAGAGGCCGGCCACAGAGACGGGCGAAACGTCAGGAAGAACAACCTTCAGAACACGGCCAAAGAGCCCAAAAAAACCTAGAACAACCCCTAGGTTTACATGGTTCCCCCTTTCCTTCAGCAATGTTGGTGAGAAGGAAACAGGAGGATTGGTTTTGCTTCCATATTTTAAGCTAGCTCTTGCTACTTGTTATGTTTGTATTGGAGAAGAGGGGCGGGGGGAGGCAGTTCCAAAGTTTCGGCGGACAAGATTAACAGAGCTTAGTTTATGTAACGTGGCTATGTTGGTCAATGACCATAATAAAGACTGAATGAATGTAATGTGGTGTTGTGCTGGGCCTGGAAATCGTTGCTTGACCTTTATGCTGGACTGGTAAGGCACTAATTTTCATAACTCTCTTTGATATGATCAAGCCTAATTGCTGTTGATATTGTGATTGTTCTCGCTATTCCTGTTTTATTTTATTTTTTTTAACTTTCCACAACAAATACAAGAATACAAAATACTAATACAATCTAAAACATCATGCACCCCCATATCCACAGGACCCTTTGGAGCAATACTTTTATTACGAACCTCATTTCCAAAATTGTATTGATTGTTGCGTAGAGGCTTTCCCCTTTCCTTTCACTAATACAAATTCAATAAATCTACCCCAAATAGCATAAAAATATTTAAACTTATTTCCCCTCTTTTCATCTTAAGTTCAGTAGTCAATTTATCATTTAACACAATGTCCCATACCTCGTTATACCAATTTTCTAATTTGATATCATTTTTATCTTTCCAGAATCTAGCTATTAATATTCTAGCACTTGTCATAAAATTAGAAATCAATTCCTTTGAGCAATAATCAAATTGTATCTTATAAAAAATTGACAGCAAAGCAATTTTAGAATTAAGTTCGATATCTTTTCCAAATATACCACATATTTCCAAAAAAAATCAGTTTCCAAAATTTCTGAATCAATTTACACTCCCACCACATATGATAATACAAGCCAATTTCTTCATCACATTTCCAACAGGCCTTAGAATAGTCTGAATTTATTATGTTCAATTTCACCAGAGTCATGTACCACCTTAAACTAATTTAATTTTTTCCCCTTTATTCTTACTGACATTAATCTTAAAACTCTCATCTTCCAAATTTTTATCCAATCCTCTGTTTTAATTTCTGTCTTTAAATCATGTTCCCAAATTGATTTCAAACCACCTATTTCAGTATCTTTTTCCTCTTGTTCCAAAATTAGGTTATATATTCTACTTACTACTCCATTCCTCAAAGCATCTTTCTGCATGTCTTCATGTGATGATAGAAATTGTTCATACTTAGTACATTCTCTACATTTGTCATTAGTCTTCAAACATTCATTTGTCCAGCTATCTAACTAGATATAATTATACCATGATAGTTTATTAGTTTGAAGTTTAATTATAATCTGATCCTTCAAAAGGATGTAAGGTGGCTTACATCACTAAAAGAGTATTGAAAAGCTAAAACGGTAAGTATACATGTATTTAAAAAGAAATAAAAGATGTACTATATTCAAATGGTAATTAAGATCAGTATTAAAACACGTTTAAAACAGAACACAACAGTCCATTTTCGGATCTATGACCGTATCATAAAACTTAACCTAACAGTCCATTTAAAACCCTTCTCAGGACACCAGTTATAAAGGAAAAGCCTGCCTGAAGAGAAAGGTCTTTGTCTACTTGCAGGAGGACAGCCAGGACGGGGCCAGCCTGGCCTCCAGTGGGAGGGAGTTCCAACGTCTGGGAGTAGCCACAGAGAAGGCCCTTTCCTGTGTTCTCCCAGCAAAGGCATCTGTGAAGGTGATGGGAGAGAAAGGACTCCCCTGATGATCTTAATACCTGGGCAGGCTCATGGAGGGAGATGCAGTTTTTGAGGTCGCTTGGATAGTTAGCCTTCGGAGCAACCCTTTTCTGCCAATTTCAGTGGTTTTAAGGACCATGCCATGTTCCAATTTATGCATCTTACCTCTGCAGCTGATGAGGACATCTGCTGATCTCTTCCGGCTTGTCCCGTTTTTGATCTTCATCATTGTGCCATTCATGGAGTTCCTGTTACCTGTATTTCTGAAACTGTTTCCTGAGATGTTGCCCTCCACTTTTGAAACGGAATCTAAAAAGGTGAGTGTTTAAAACACCTTCAGATCTTGCTGCACTCACGGCTCTTCCCCTTCAGCTTTGGACACAAGTGTTACCGTTGGTCTCCCCAGTGGGAAGGGGGAGGCTGATCCAGGATGATGGTGGTGGCCAGAGGTTGTAAAATCAAGTGGGGCTGCCCTTGAAGGTAGTTTGCGAGCAACGGCAAGTGCAAAATGCACTTGGCTTCAGGAAAAAAGTAAAGACCTGGCTCTTAACTCAGGCTTTTCATGTTCCTTCCCATGTTTAATTCAATGTAATAATAATAATAATAATAAAGTCTCTCTAATTTTTGATGAGCTGCATTTTTATGGCTGATGGTTGGTCTGTTGCCATCATGAATCTTGTTATAAATTTAATTCAGGTTGGGGCTTGTCTGCTTTTTTGTTTAATGTTTTGGTGGTTGTTTATTATTGAATTTTGGTATGTGTTGTGGATGTTTTTATTGTAAACTGCCACTAGATGGGCAAGGTAAAAATTGAATTAAATAGATACTGTACACACATACCGTACATACAGGCTGTATGTTCTAAAGCATGCAGTAATTTCTCACTTTTACCGTTACCTGTATTAAAGGAAGAAAAACAAAGGAAGAAACTGAGTGCGAAGCTGGAATTAGCCAAATTCTTGCAGGAGACGATTGCAGAGATGGCCAGAAGAAACAAAGCCACTACAGGGGAAGCGACTCAGCAGTTCTCTTCCTATGTTGAAAAGGTACAAACATCTTAGTAATGAGTGAAACTGTAGTTTGTGTGTGTGGACATACAGAGGAGGGACAGGATCTGTTCTTGATCATCTCAGAGTGCAGGATGCATAATAATATCAGGACAAACCACTTAACTGCTAGAGCAGTACACCAACGGAGCCCATGACGTTAGGAGGTGGTGAGTGCTCCAACGCTGGAGGCCTTCAAGAGAAAATTGGGCCACCCTCTGGTTTGATTTGAATTCCTGTCTTAAGCAGGATGGTGGACTTGATGGCCTTCTTAGACCCCTTCCAACTCCATTATTCTACGAGTACTCTGTTAAAGAACCACTTAACTGCTAGAGCAGTACACCAACGGAGCCCATGACGTTAGGAGGTGGTGAGTGCTCCAACGCTGGAGGCCTTCAAGAGAAAATTGGGCCACCCTCTGGTTTGATTTGAATTCCTGTCTTAAGCAGGATGGTGGACTTGATGGCCTTCTTAGACCCCTTCCAACTCCATTATTCTATGAGTACTCTGTTAAAGGCTAAATCCAATTGTATTCTTAGCTAAAGTTGACCAGTGAGATTTGCGTAACAGATTACATTTTTTAAATAGATTTTTTTTCTAGTTGGGACTAACTAGACAGAAGAAATAATTAATTTCTATTTTATTAACTGCAGCAAGATTAATAATAGCAAACAATAGGAAAGTAAAATATGATTTTCAGGTACAGTGGTGCCTCGCAAGACGAGCGCCCCGTTTAACAATGAAATCGCATTACGACGAACTTTTAGCAAGCGCAAAAGTGATCGCTTTACAATGGTTTCAATGGGGGAATTTCGCTTTGCGGTGATCGGTTCCCTGCTTCAGGAACCAATTCTTGCAAAACAACGATTTTCGGCCAGCTGATCGGCGGTTTCAAAATGGCCACCGGGTAAAAAAATTGGCTCCCCTCTTTTCTGGGACGGGCAGCGAAAATGACTGCGCTATGGAGGATCTTCGCTGGATGGTGAGTTGCACGCCCGTAGGAATGCATTAATCGGGTTTTAATGTGTTTCTATGGTTTTTTTAATTTCGCATCCCGACGTTTTCGTTCTACAACGATTTCGCTGGAACGAATTAACGTCGTAATGCGAGGCACCACTGTATCTGATTGGTATGATGAAATTTGGAATGTAGCTATTAATGATAAACTAACAGGTGATACTAAAATTTTTTAAAAGTACTGTAAATAAGAATATTTTCAAGGACCTATGGGGAAACTCTATGAAATAAAAGGGAAAGGATATTGACCTTCATAAGAAATATTGCAATTTTGGAGGGAATAAGGGTCTCCAGAATATTTATTGGAAAACTGAAAGTATCCATACTGATCGAGATGAAAGAGCTGTGTTATGTTTTAGGTAAAGAAATCAGATTAACCCTAATTATTATGACAAAGTGTTGTTTATTTGTTAATTGTTACTGGGCTTTGTAAAAGTTATGTATTGTTTTAGTTGCTTGATTTTTTTGTGTGTGTATTTGTGTAAACACGTGTGTGTGTGTGTAAATAAAACAAGAGAGCAAATGTTTCAAATGCTATTAAAAGCTCAGCAGAATGAAAGAGATGTCAGTGTGTCCATAATAGCCCAGTTGATGCCCAGCGACCTTGCCTAAGGGGTAGGGGGATTCATAACTGCTCTGGGATGGAGGTGGGGGAAGACAGGTGTGTTCCTGCTGCCACGAGGTCTCCTGATTTGTGCAGGTTCGGCACAGCGGCCAGAGCCCGAGCATCCAAGATATTATGCAGTTTTCCAAGCTCTTTGAAGATGAGCTTACGCTGGAACACTTGGAACGGCCACAGCTGGTCATTCTCTGCAAGTTGCTGGAACTGCAACCCATTGGCACCAATAACCTTCTCCGCTTCCAGCTTCTGATGAAGCTCCGGTCTATCAAAGCAGACGACGAGGTGAGAAAGAGCTCCTCGCTGTCGCCCCTCCCCATGGTTGCAGGGACGGACGTGGTTAAATCTCCCTCTGCCCCCCCCCCACCACCTTCATCCGTCCTTCCTCTCTGCCATTTATTCCATCTGTCTTAAAGAATCGGGAATGGTGTTTGAGGTTGACTGGCTTGTGTTTCACAACCCCATCCATGAAGGTGAAGAGAAAGCCATGCCTCTGAACTTCCAAGGCCCTATGACTATGGATCTCTGTTGATCTACACTCGAGGAGGACAGCTTGTGATCTGCCATAAGCAGTCGGACCACAGCACGTATCAGCCCCAGCCAGCATAGCGAAGGGGTGTATGTCTCAGTTAAGAGAAAAAGAGGTGGGGGTAAAAATGTGAAGACACTCAACAAATAATGTACAGGAGGTATCTTTGAAAGCATGTGTTACCCAGATTGGATCTCTGTTGATCTACACTCGAGGAGGACAGCTTGTGATCTGCCATAAGCAGTCGGACCACAGCACGTATCAGCCCCAGCCAGCATAGCGAAGGGGTGTATGTCTCAGTTAAGAGAAAAAGAGGTGGGGGTAAAAATGTGAAGACACTCAACAAATAATGTACAGGAGGTATCTTTGAAAGCATGTGTTACCCAGATAAAAGTAAAAAAAAGAGGTGGGGGTAAAAATGTGAAGACGCTCAACAAATAATGTACAGGAGGTATTTTTGAAAGCATGCGTTACCCAGATAAAAGTAAAGCAAAGCAAAGTGTGCCGCTTATATACTTAAAGCATGCTCTGGGTGGTTTACAATTTAATTATGCAGGCTACACATGACCCCTGCAGGAGGTGGGTACTCACTTTACTGACTTCAGAAGGATGGAAGGTTGAGTGAACCTTGAGCTGGCTACTTGAGCCCGTTGGGATCAAACTCAGGGTGTGAGCAAAGTCTTGACTGCAGTACTTCAGTTTAACCGCTGCACCACAAGGCCCTTTCATAACAAAGGCGCTTTCATAACAGTGGTCAGAAGACCAGATGGGTGGGGTATACATCAAATAAATAAATAAATAATAGTTAAATGCCGCTGCACCACAAGGCCCTTTCATAACAATGGAATAGTTAAATACCATAGAATTTGCTTGGGTATAGCTTAATGTGACATACAGCATTCACAGCATGTAATATGGCCAAGACTCTACCCTGCTATAGCATAGGTGGTCTAGTGTGCCTTCTGAGGCCCCTGAATCGGGAAGGTAGCTGCCACCTCCTTTCAGCAGCAGGGGAAACAGCTGAACCGAAGGAAGAGCTCACAGAGTCAATCCACTGAACACAGGCTTACGGTGGAATTAGATCAGCTCAGTCACGGCATTAAGAGGCATCTCACGCAGAGAGGTTGAAAATGAGACAAGGATTATAAAAAGGGAAGGAGTCAGATTTTGAGAAGAGAGGTTTCTACAGTATGAAAATTTAGTTTGAGTTATTCAAGTGCTCCCAGCCTAGTTACTCGGAGAGGGTTGTGCTTCACCAAGACTGATCCGGTAGGTGGTAGGCTAGATCAGGCAAACGGGTTTGCTAACGTGTCCAGCCTCAACGTCTGTGACAGTTCAAGATGTACATAAGCTTTTGCCAATCTTCTGAGTGTGCACCCCTGAAATTTGGCAGACTCAAAGAAAGGGTTCTTAATGAAATTGCTACCTTTTCACTAAGCATTAGCCTTTTAACCAACTGTTTTCACATGCACATTGTTTAAATGTCCATATGGTTGACTTTGAATGAGCCCATCATAAAATTAAGCTCCGTTTATAATTTAAAACTACAGCTCGGAAGTATCATGTTCAAATTGCCTTTTCCTTTAAGAAATTGAGTCTGGCCGTCCACGTTTTCTGAAGGGCCTGTTCATCGCTTTCTTTTGAAGGGTACCCTTTGCCCGGAGGGATGCGGGATGCATTTCTAAAAGAACGCTCACCTCTTGGCTTTTTGCAGATGATTGCCAGGGAAGGGGTCAATGGCTTGAGCGTTTCTGAGCTGCAAGGCGCCTGCCGAACAAGAGGAATGAGGTCCTTGGGCCTTACAGAGGACCAGCTCAAGGACCAGCTCAACCAGGCAAGTACGAGACCCTAGCTAAGGAGAAACATTATGGGATGTAAACCCGTCTGCATCCATGTTCTTTGGGAGCAGCCGAACTCATAGACAGGGCAACTGCCTCGCTGGCTGTGCACGCCTCCTCTAAACTCAGAAGCAGCACGAGAGGGGATCCCACACGATAGGAAGTGAAAATGGGAGGGAACTAATCTCTTCGAGACCAGCTTGTGAAGTTTTCTTGGAAGCCTCAAGTTGGCTGCAGGGAGACTGAAGAGGAGAATGACTGGATAGCTCAGTGGTTTAGATGTCTGGCTGCAGAGCCGGAGGCTGGGAGTTTGATTCCGCCCTGACAGGGGCTGGACCCGATGATCTCTTGGTTCCCTTTCCACCTCTGCAGTTCTAAGAAGAGGATGAGGATCTAGCAAAGTGCTTACTCTCTTAGATGAGGATCAGGGACACATATATATCCTTCCATTTGGATTGCAACTGCCAGTATCCCTGGTCATTAGCTATTCTGTCTGGGGCTGGTGGGAGGTTCTGGGTAGCAATGCTCTGGGGGCCTCCTGCTGCCCATTCGGGCTCTACAGGCTGAATCCCAATGGGGGTAACCTTTATTTCTGTTTCAAAATGGTTTGGGGTTTTTTTTATATCTAAGCAATTGGAAAGAATAGAAGCCGTCTGCATAGGATTAGGGAGAGAATAAAAGAAAGGAATTTGGGGATAGAGTGATCCTATCCAAGTTAGTTCTGGACCCAGCCGTGGTGGGGTTGGTCCTGTCGACCATCAGCTTAGCTGTTCCCGTCCAGCAGGATCCCTTCACGGTAACGCCAGTGATCTGTGAGCTAATGGGAAGTCAGAGGAGCCGAAATAGCAATAAATAAGTGCTTTGCTTAAATCTCGGCACGCCAGCATCTCCCAGTGGGCTTTGGATAGTCCCACGGCCCTGTCTGCTGGGAGCAACCAGAGAGTGAGTGGCTGTGGGCAGATCTTCCCAGTTTGCCACTTGAAGAACTTGGGCAGGATTTTTCAGGTCAGGTGGTAGAAGCAAGAACGGGGCAGGTAGTCAAGCCAAGATCCAGCCCTGGGCCGTTGTCCAAACGGTCATGTGAACGAGGAGGCTTGCTTGTCTCAGGGAGAAGGTGGCCAAAGTTCCAGCACCCTACAGAGACTGTGGACTTGGGAAATTATCTTGTTCTATGGAGTGGTGTAAATCTGAGTTTTCACAACCTGCCCCCTCTTTTCATCTCTTTCCCAGTGGCTCGATCTGCATCTAAAGGAAAATGTTCCTCCTTCCCTGTTGTTGCTTTCTCGTGCCTTATATTTGACCGAAGTGAAGCCCAAACCAATTCCTGTGACTCCGGCCGAGGTGAGTGCCGCAGTTCCTTGAAAACAAACGCAGCATCTCCTGGTTTCCCTGGGTGAGCAATGAAGCTGGGAGTTTGCCAGTTATCATAGAGCGATTCCTAAAAGAGCAGCAGGATTACTGTTGAGAGAGGGAACGATGTGTCTGTGTCTGTGTCTCTTTCTGCTTATAAGGCAGCCTTCCCCCTTCACATGTTTGGGATTACAAATCCCATAAGCAGTAGTCAATTCCACTGTGTGTGTTTATTGCAACATCTAGCAAGCATATACAGGGTTGCAATTTTAATTGTGAGTGTGGGAAAAAGCAGGATTTGGGAATTTGGTAACTCTGTCTCTTCCCCCCCCCCCCAAAAAAAATCTAAAATCATAGCCTTGAACAAGTTAGCTGCGATGTTGGTTCAGGATTGCTAAGGATGCTTCCAGTGGCCTCCATCAGTAATGCCTCCTTAGTGTCCTTGCAGTTTTGCCACTTATTCTGTGGCTGTTCCCAGAAACTACGAAGCCTTGTCCACGAGTCTTTTTTCCTGGCAACATCTTTAAATGCACAAGCGATGCCCGCTCCTGCTTATGTGATCACATAACCATACAGGGATGCTGCAAAGCCACGTCAACATCGCTGGAAACCTTAAATTTTCCCCTAGATGACCAGAATTGGATGTAGTCGTGCTTAATAGTGACGGTGTGACATTTTCCTTTCTTTAGCCTCTGAAGACGGAGGAAATAGACGATGAAGATCATGAGACGCTGTTGGATCCTGCTCCCATGGTGCAGGAAAGAAAGGTGAGAAGTGGTATTTAGGCGGGAGAGTATCCTCTTCAGGATAATCGTGCATGGATTTGGTGCACATCATGAGTGCCCGTTCCACAAAGGTGGAATGAACTTCTTTCGCTTGTGAAGAGGGACCACCTGGTAGAGACCCCAAGGCATGGGATGCTTCCTGTCTTGCAGAGCAGGTCTCCTGGGAACCAAATTATTTGGGTTCAGCTGTAGTTCTCCTCCTGAATCTTGGATAGGAGTCTAGACATTTGGTTTATTTCTGTTTTTCTTAATTGTTTGAAGAATGAAGAATTTATATTGCAGCCAACAGAGAAATTACCAGTTCCTGGAGTATCCGTCAAGCCTCCTGAAGGAGAGGTGAGTTTTAATTCTAGTAAATACTGCAACTTAAGCCCACTGATCACTCCATTCCCTACCTTAGGATATTACTGATGCCATTGGTAGAATCGCGCCATCCACGGCGGATCGGTGAGAGGGCTGTGAATGCCACCTGTGCAGGGATATTCGAATACAAATACCTCCATCTCTAATCTGTGAGTTTTAATTCTAGTAAATACTGCAACGTAAGCCCACTGATCACTCCATTCCCTATTTTAGGATATTACTGGTGGTCTGAAAAAGCAAAATGGGCTTTCATAACGTCAGCATCTTGTAACAGGTTTGTGGCACAGTCCTGTCTACTTTTACATAGCCTTTACTTCTCCAGGTAACCCGTATTTGGAGAAAATAAATTATGTTGTGTTTAGTGGGCTCTGCCCTAGGTAAGAAGAGGCTGTATCTTTTGGGGGAATTCAGAAGAATAGAGGATACCTCTTGTGTTTACTTGGGATAGAAGTTAAGGAACAAGAAGGGTACTTTATCAGTCTGCCCACATTTACCATGAAGGCAGAAGAAACGGTTGTCTTGCTTTGGGGCATATCACTTCAGCCATTTTTTCCCCTTTGAAACACAACTTTTTGTCTTTTGGAAATTAGGATAAAATTGCAACAAAGGACTGCTCGATGAAGATCATGAGACGCTGTTGGATCCTGCTCCCATGGTGCAGGAAAGAAAGGTGAGAAGTGGTATTTAGGCGGGAGAGTATCCTCTTCAGGATAATCGTGCATGGATTTGGTGCACATCATGAGTGCCCGTTCCACAAAGGTGGAATGAACTTCTTTCGCTTGTGAAGAGGGACCACCTGGTAGAGACCCCAAGGCATGGGATGCTTCCTGTCTTGCAGAGCAGGTCTCCTGGGAACCAAATTATTTGGGTTCAGCTGTAGTTCTCCTCCTGAATCTTGGATAGGAGTCTACACATTTGGTTTATTTCTGTTTTTCTTAATTGTTTGAAGAATGAAGAATTTATATTGCAGCCAACAGAGAAATTGCCAGTTCCCGGAGTATCAGTCAAGCCTCCTGAAGGAGAGGTGAGTTTTAATTCTAGTAAATACTGCAACGTAAGCCCACTGATCACTCCATTCCCTACCTTAGGATATTACTGATGCCATTGGTAGAATCGCGCCATCCACGGCGGATCGGTGAGAGGGCTGTGAATGCCACCTGTGCAGGGATATTCGAATACAAATACCTCCATCTCTAATCTTTATGCTTTACTGCTTTGACTGTGTTTTTAGGATCACTTTTGTTTATGATTTCTCAGAATGGTATTTGCTTGAACCTTTTCAGTATTTGTATACTTACGGTTTTCAACTTTAAATATTGTCTTTTAATAACGTAAGCTGCCTCTGGTCTTTTTTTAAGGAGCAAGGCAGGAAATTTAAAAATAAATAAATAAATAAACAGACCAATAACTAGTAAGGAACAAGAAGGGTACTTTATCAGTCTGCCCACATTTACCATGAAGGCAGAAGAAACGGTTGTCTTGCTTTGGGGCATATCACTTCAGCCATTTTTTCCCCTTTGAAACACAACTTTTTGTCTTTTGGAAATTAGGATAAAATTGCAACAAAGGACTGCTGGTGGTTTAGGTCGCTGGCTGTGGAGCCAGAGGTGGGAGTTCGATTCCCCACAGTGCCTCCTTAACAGGGGTGGGACATGATGATCCATAAGGTCCCTTTCAGCTCTTCAGTTCTAAGATGATGTTGATGAAACAAAGTCACATATTCTAAGGATGCTGGCTTGTATTCCTAAAAAACATCCTCCTGCTCAGGGAACAGCATCACTAAAGGTAGCTTAATCAGTTCCAGAAGATAGGCATAGAATGGCCAGTACAGTGGCACCAGGGCTGTAGCCTGGCTCCAAACACAGGGTGATGACCCCCTGTCTCATGGCCCCCCCCCCCACAACTGCCACCTTGCACTGGGTATGTGCCTGGGTTGTAAAGGAGTAAGAAGATGGCCAGAACTGTCAAAGAAGTATTATTAGCAAATAATAGAGGAGAGGCATGTGTCTAAATGCCGCTAAAACCAGAGAGCACCCCCCCCATCACCAGAAGACAAGTGTGCATTTTCAGTCACCAGAGACTGACCCCATTATAAAATCAGCGGGGCAGAGTTTTATGGCTGGCCCTATCTTTGATCTCCTCCTGCAAGCAAGCAAAGACTGTTCTTTTCAGGCAAGATTTCCCCGAGTGACTGGCTGAGTGGGATTTTGAAATGGATCCGTTTTAGAGATGGGGGTATTCATATCCAAATATCCCTGCACAGGTGGTGATAATGTGGGTCCAGCCCCATGGGGCTGGACGGTCCACTCACTGACCCCCTGCGGACGCGGACGGCACCATTCTACCAATGGCTCTGCAGCGCGCAATCCGCTCACCACTCTAGGCAGGAGGACAAGTCTTGCCGCAAGGTCGAAGCGTGGCGAGCGGATCACGTGCTGCGGTGCTATTGGTAGAATCGCGCCATCCACGGTGGATCGGTGGGTGGACTGTGAATGCCACCTGTGCGGGGATATTCGAATACAAATACCTCCATTTCTAATCATTAAGCTTTACTGTTTTGACTGTGTTTGTAGGATCATGTTTGTTTACGATTTCTCAGACGGGTATTTGTTTGAACCTTTTCAGTATTCGTATACTTACTGTTTTCAACTTTAAGTACTGTATTGTCTTTTAATAATGTAAGCTGCTTCTGGTCTTCTTTTAAGGAGCAAGGCAGGAATTCTTTTTAAAAAATAAACAGATCAATGGCTACATTTCAAAGGTGCTGCAGCACAAGAGGGATGTAAAGCATCGAGTTACATGCATTTCTCCAAGGACACACTGCCTTAGAAACAAGGCCCACTGGAATCACATGGGGCTTGGTTCTGTGTGCGATGTGTCTATTCCGGGGATGGGACCGTCTGCTTCATTGTTTCAGAAATGTATGTCGGTTTCTTTGGCTACTCATATTTTTTCTCTCTTCTAGACAAAGATGGAAGCTTCTCAGAGCAACAAAGCTAGCGCGAATGGAGTCTAGCTATTTCCATCAACAAGGACCTGGGCGCTTGAGGAATGTCTCTGCCCCTGATATGAAATCGCCGAGACTACAGCCCATTCTTGTAGACCAGCTCCTTTTCCACGCACAGTTTCCTGTCCCCTCTCTCTCTCTCTTCCCTTTTTGATGTGCTCTGGGTGATATTGTTCGCATCTCACCCAGGCCAAAAAAAAGAAGAAAAAGCACTTTTGATATAGTGGAACCTCTTTATCTATTCTATCCTGAGTAAATTAACTTATTTTTGTAGATATGTATATAATCTTACAAACTGGAAAAGCTGTAACTTAAGCGACATGATCGGATGCAAAGATTTGTATTTCTTAAAATTTTAGTAAAGCAGTGAATTGTTATTACTTCTGCTTTTTAACATTTTTTTTACAAAATCAGCTTGGATGCAACACACTTTTCTGAGAACAGTATAGAATGTTGTGCTTGTCAATCCATAAGGTGATGGTGTGGGTGTTTAATTGGCTTACAGTCTGATCCTAGATATATTACTTTGGAAGTAAATTCTGAATGACTGGTTTTTGGAGAAGGGTGTATTCAGTGTGGCACAATATCAGAGGAAAAATCAATCAGCTGTTAAAGTAGTATCTTTGATTCCTGTTTAGTACATAAGGAGGATGGAACCCAATACAAGTTTCATTGCATTTCCTGCGGTAGTACGTACAGATCCTTATTATTCTCTCCTGACTGCTAAATTTTGCTAAAAGACAGTCCTACTCCAGTGATTTTCATTTGTGCGCTCCACAAAAGGCCAGCACCATGGCAGTGCACAGCAGTGGGGTCGAAACTGGTTTATAGTTTAATCCATCTGAAGTACAGATTCAACTAAAAATAACCGGACAAGCCCGTAGCCATCAGTTGCAACTCTGTTACCTACTTTTGTTGAGTTTTGAAAGTTGAATTTAACTTAGAGGGCTGTAAGGAAGCATTAAGAGTTTAGAAGTTCTTTACTGCTTGGGACTGTAGGATCGTTATCCTCTTATTTGGTCTGCCCAGCCTAAAGAGTGAACTAAAGCTACTAGACTCTGAAAGGTCAATTCAGCATATTTTTGCTTGCATAACTGTAGCTAAGCAATGCATAGCCTAAGGCTTGCACCTAGAGTAAAAGACAATGTCTCTCTTTTGGAGGGTAGTTAGTCATAACTTTGCTTTGTCTCTAGAAGGATGCCACCCTGGTAGATGGGAGAAAAGAATTACGGGACAAAAACACTTATCTTGTCTATTTTGAGGCTGTATCTTTCCATCCTTGTGTTTGGCTCTTTTAAAACTTACTGTAACATTTAAATCGTATTTGTTGTCCTAGGCATATGGGGCCAGTGTTGTAAATCAGACTAACCCAGTAACACATCCAATTGGCCAAGGAGACTCCAAGCTCTCATTTTGCAAAACTCGAGGTCCTGTGATAAAAGGACCATTTCCTTTGCTTAGAAACACATCTGTTTGGTGTGTTACAAATGTTAAAAATTTGTGCATCACACCTGGGAAACTGGCTGACGGGCTCTGTCTGGGCTGGACCCGTCCAATAAACAGACATGATGTGCCACTGTGTCTCCTGATTGTGTTATGTGCACCAAGGTGAGCTTTTTGGGTTAGGCACATCATGTGGCAAGCTCAGCTTGTTCCCACTTAAAAACACCTTCACACAGGCAGCTGTAAACAGAGTTTGTTCTGTATACCTTGTTGAAGCTGCCCTTTAAAAAAAATCAGATCCCCCATCTGTGCCCACCTAATGCCTGGCACTCATCATTGATCACACGCTGCATGTACAAATGAGCCGTGGTGGCCGTCCAGGTGTTGCTGGACTGCAGCCACACAGGGCTGATGGGAGTTGTAGTCCAGTCACATCTGGAGGATCTCCAGTTGCCTACCCCTATCTCCAGTCATTCATGGCTGCAAAACACTTTTTTTTTACACTAGAAACTGAAAAGAGATGGCTTTTTTCAAGCCTTTCTCAGAAGCTTATGATCATTCCCGGGAAAGGGACAGGAAGGAAGGACAGCTTGGTGAAACAGCGTTTGATGTCTGTGTTAGAAGCAAATTCTCCGTAGAATTAACATCGATCACGCCTGTCTGGGCAGTCCCTAATTGCTGCAGAAATATCCACGCTTAACAGACTCTGCTTGGAAAACACTTGTCTGACAATAACAGTCATGTCAGGTATTGATCTGCCGAGGGGCCACGTTCAGCTCTGCAAGCAGGCGCAAAGATTAGTTCATGAGCAGCTGGGAGCACTACACAACTGGTGAGCAGGGCTACCGGCATGGTGTACGCAGAAGGCAAGCTTTGTGAGATCAGACAAGGCCAGTCTCCTGCCGCTGCCGCCGTCAGCCCACCCGTGCCCCTTGGAAGCCCATAAGCAGGAGATGATGGCACCAGGTTCCCTCTCCTTGTTTGGGCTGCCCAGCAACTGATCCACAGCCGCTGATGGTGGAAGAAATTTAGCCCTTTGAAAATAAGGATAGCCCCATTCTTCCTGAATGTGTTCACTCCTCTGTTTAGTGGGTCCTAGATCAAATCGAGCCTGAACTCTTACGTAGCTCTGGAGGCAAAAAAGGATGAAACTTGAGAATGTTCTGCTTTCGGCCCATCTGTGCTGGCACCAAGTAGCGATTCTCTAGCTGAAGGATGAGGAATCAACCAGAACATAAAACTGGAGGACCAAAGATAAGCTCGCCTTGTTTCTTGAGCTAAAGAGGACATACGTAAGTCTTTTTTTGCCTCCCCCAAATATATGGTCAGCACGAGAGAGAGAGAGAGAGAGAGAGAGATCTAACTCCAGAAGAGTGTAAAACTTTTTTTTAGTCTTATAAAATGTTGGTTGAAGTTCTCAAATGTTTCAGTCAGTACTCAGTGACTTGTCTGTCTTGTTTCACCCAAAATGTCAGCTGTCTTATCTTGGGGGTCTGCCAGGAGGATAGTAGGAACAGGGGAAAAGGAGGAACTTTACAACTAGCCTATGAAAAGCTTACGGAGAAGTGCTTGGGTTCATACTACAAGACCACTTATCCTACTTTCAGGAGGGCGGGTGTGTGACTCTTAACAACGGTTCTGAAAACTCAGCATCCCAAGCGCACCGCTTCTATGTCCCAAGACCGAGGCGTGTGCTGCTAGCTGGGAACAATTAGAGAAGAGGCTGCGAGAGAGAAAAGGCCACGAACGGAACATCAGCCCTCTGTTTTCCATCATCCTTAGCGATGGCATGCAGTTAATTCCTGCAGGGAGCAAGAAAAGCTGCTTCTGCAGTTACTTGCCCTTTTTTCTCGCCAGGGAGCAGCACAGCACAGAGTTTCTCCAAAGAGCCACAGCTGAGAACTGTGGAGGAGGAAGGGAGGGGAAAAAAGAGAGATTTTCTTTCTCCCCTGTAAGAACTGGGCATGAGAGGGGAGTCAGGGAAACCCGTCCCATTCTGAGTTAGATACCTGGGGCAAGAGAGAAATTATGGACGGGCAACCTGATCATGCTTATGTCCTTCACTTTGAGGATGAAACATCTATTTCTCCTTTGGGTCTTAACCTATTTTGTTTACTTATATCCATCCATCCATCCATCCATCCAGTTCGTATCCCACTCCTGTTAGTGTTGGTATCCATCCATCCATCCGTCCATCCATCCAGTTCGTATCCCACTCCCGTTAGTGTTGGGGCACTACTCTGAGTGGGTTACAACACATGTAAATAGAAAACAAAAATAAAGATAGAAACATTAAAAGCAGCAACAGTAACCTAAAAAAAAGTTGGCACCAACTAATCATATAAACCCAGAGTGGACGGCAGAAAATAAAAGGCGGGGGGAGAAGAGGAAGGGAGGAAAGGGAAGGTGATCAGCTGGGGTCAGTGTGGGAAGCCTCCCTGAAAAGCAATGTCCTTAATGGCTTCCTAAAAGTCCACAGGGAGGGGGCTAGGTGGAGTCCTCCGGAAGCTGCTTCCATAAAGTGGGAGCCACCATGAAGAAGGCCCTGCCTCTTGTAGCGCAGAGGTCCCCAACCCCTGGTCCGTGGCCCAGTGCCGGTCCGTGGCCTGAGCCTGACCAGGCCACGGAGACAGACCTCACCCCCACTCTCTACACACACAGCCTGTTTGCGCCTGCGCATGTGGGCCTGCGCCCACATGAGCACTCCCCACCCCTTCGTGCATGCACATGAGTGCCCCCTGAGCACCACGCTGCCCTTTGTGCATAAGCATGCCCGTGCAAGCACCCCCTGCTCCTTTGCGCATGAGCATGAGCATGAGCGTACCCATGCAGGAGAGCACACGCTCCTTTGTGCATGCGCACAAGCCCTGCCTTCCCCAGCCGGTCCGCAGGGCTAAAAAGGTTGGGGACTGCTGTTGTAGAGGATTTATGGGGCTCCCTCAGGGTGGTCGTCCAGAGGAGCCTCAGCTGGAATGATCTTCTGGGTTGGGCAGATGACATTTTAACCTTATGCGCCACTTAAGACGGTCAGCTTCTCCTGCCTCCAAATCTTCTCCATCCTTATATTCAAAGAACTATCACCCCGGGCTCCTGATATCTGTCAGCATCAATGGTCATAAAGGTAGGAGGAGCCCTAGAAATCATCTTGTCCAACCCATTCAGGCAGCCAGTCATTAAGAGAAAGCTTGTCTGAAGAGCCTGCTTGCAGAAGGACAGCAAAGACGGGGCCAGCCTGTCTTCCAGTGGAAGGGAGTTCCAGAGACTGGGAGCAGCCACGGAGAAAGCCCGTTTCCCATGTCTCCACCAAACATATCTATGTAACTCCAGTACAGTATTAGCTTTCTCAGGTCCCATGTTGAGCAAGGGGGCGAGGATCTGCCATGCAGGAGAGAGCATGTTTGAGGTCTCATTGCTTGTCCAAGAAGCATTTCAGCAGTACTTCTGGAGTGGAAGGATTAGCCAAGGAGAGAGCATGTTTGAGGTCTCATTGCTCTGCAAGGCTTCTTCTTCTTGACTTGTCCAAGAAGCATTTCAGCAGTACCTCTGGAGTGGAAGGATCAGCTGACAGGCCCCCTCCCAGTTAATATTCAGAAGGCACTGACAGGCCCCCTCCCAGTTAATATTCAGAAGGAACTGATTTCCACACTGACCCTATGTGATTTACACCTCTAGTCCTGCTGCTTTATTCAGAATTCGTTGGTGGAGCCTTTGGTTTTCCTTCACTTACTGTTTTAAATTCTTAGTATGAGTATTTTATAAATATGTGTTATTTGCTACTGTTGTAAACCTACCTAGAATAGCGCATTGCATCAAAAGGATGGCATATGTCAGACAAACAGACAGACAGACAGACAAATAGCCCTGGCACAAAACAAGCATACAGGGGAACACCAAATGCAAGCAGCATGCGTTAAAAGAAAAAGCATCATCATCATCG